GACGAAACTTTTTTACCGGGCATGTATTTGGGCACATGGACCCTTAGGGAAGGGTCATTTTCACTTTCGCTCCTAGAACTGGCCCGTATTAGGGGTTGGCCTTAAACCCTAGACACCTTAGCTTCAGGTTGCTATAGGGGCCTAAATAACTACAATACTATTTTGGTTGCTGCTTATTATAATATAGAAGCCTGAATAATTACCTATACTTTTTTGGGGGCTCCATCTTATATTTCTAGTATAGTATATCCCAAAACCCTGTTCTTTTTTTAAGGCCCCTATAGTGCCGTTACTGGTTGCAGCTGAATGTATCAGATTTAGCGGAGGGGGCTCCAAGCTCCAGGGCCTCCTTCAGCCCCCAAAAATCCTACGTCTTCAGGGTTTAGGAGATTAGGGTTTAGGGTTTATAGGGTTTAGGGTTTAGGGTTTAGGGTTTAGGGTTTAGGGTTTAGGGTTTATAGGGTTTAGGGTTTAGGGTTTAGGTTTCCGAAAATAGGGGACCCTAGTCTGGGACCCTAGGTAGTAGGATCCTTGTTATAAGGACGCCAATATTAAGGCAACCGAATTTTCGGAAACTGACACCTCTTCCGGGAAGTCATGCAGAGCAACGCCTCAGTTGGGGTTTAGGATTGCTAGTATAGTAACCCATTGTTGCCTCACATGTACCCGGCTAAGCCGTTACAGAACAAAGATGCAATAATATATCAGCACATCCCCTTCCGAAAGCATCAATACCCAAACCGGCGCTGCTTCTGGAGAAGAGCAGCGCAGGGATTGAAACATCGGCTTTTCATCCCGGAACAGCAGTCCCCTATCAAGCCTACAGAACCCTAAATTCTATGGATACACAACGAATAAGTCGTCCTAAACCCTAAACCCTGAACCCCTCTATTCCAGGTGTGTCAGTGTTGTGGGAGTCTTTGGGCTTGTCTAAGAGTGCCAGTGATACTGCTGATGATACAAATCCTGCATTAGCTTAACTATGTGATCTATGGTACATTCCTCAGTATGGGCAATGCAGGTTTTATATCATCAACCGTTTTGCAGCTCAGGGTCTATAGGGTTTAGGGCTTATAGTGTTTAGGGTTTGGGCGCACAGTAATGCGATCTTAGATGACGAAGTAGTACGGCGTAAAGATGACATGAGATGCGCAGAAAGAACATATGACGTTCCGCCCGCCTCTCTCGCTGATTTTGTCCGTTTCCCTTTGTGTAGACGGAGGCGGATAGATGGAGACTACAGGCTTACCACTTCAAGCGCCAGAATAGATCCACCCTCCCCGACTTTCTCATGATGAGATACCTTAGTAGTAGTATTCAAGTAATTCTAGTATTATTATAGTATTATGATGATAGTAGTACTTTTCATGGATGCTCGGGTCAAGAAAGAGGAATCAATTAGAATTTGATCCGCGAATGACAAAGTCTTCATACCAAAAAGTTGAGGAAGAAGAAGTCAAATACACCTACGGATCGATACACACCCAGCGTAGGCGGAGCATCGACAGCATGTAGAGCAAGCTTATTTAGGGTTTAGGGTTTAGGGGTTTAGGGTTTGGGGGTTAGGGGTTTAGGGGTTTAGGATTTTAGGGGTTTAGGGGTTTAGGGGTCTAGGGGTTTAGGGTTCAGGTAGTCAGCCAGCGGCGAGCCGACTCTTCTAGTGAGTACCTGTGACCCCAGACCCTACACAATAGTAGGTTATGACCCCTTAATTAGAGGTAGAACCCTTAAAACGGTAGGTTTTTGGCTCCCCAGGTAGGGTTTAATAGAAGCCGAAATAAATATTATTGTTAGGGTTCCTTACTGAAATAATCTACGATCAAGGAGCCCAAAACCCTATTCTAATGATTAAGGACCCTGCATTAGGGATCGTGGTGCCTGAAACCCTAAACCCTATAAACCCTATAAACCCTATAAACCCTATGAACCCTATGAACCCTAGACCCTAAACCCCTAAACCCTGAAAAGTATCCGGGCTCAGACAGCGGAAAGGTGCCAGAGGAAGATCGGGCCTTGCAACCATGGCAAGCCTGCGACGATCGAAAGTGGCACTCATGCCCGTCATCGTGTGGCTCTTCTTAGAAAAAGCAAGTGGCGTTTTTCGATAGTACACTATCTCATTCGTACACTAGAGTATACTATCTTCTACTGTATTGTACTATAGTAGAGCATATAGAATACTATAGTATGCTATAGTAGAGTAGCTAGAATAGTATAGTCTACTACAGTATTTGATATGGTATAGTATTCTAAAGCTGGTGGCACTTTTCGATATGTCACCTTTCATTCGCTTCCCAGGCTTCTTGGCTTCGGCGCTGCGGCTCTGTCATTTACAGGAGCTATATTTATTTGCGGAGCCAGAGTATACTATACTAGAGCATAACATACAAAACTATGGCATAACATACTCTACTATACTATACGAGAGTACGGTATAGTATATCATACTATAGTATAGGAGGTGCTATCTTGTGCACTATACTCAGCTACAGGAGTTTCGCCCGTCGCGCCGCGCAGGGAGGCTGTCATGCGCAGAGCTGGAGACGGATTCCTCCCGCTGGATGCAGTGGAGCCTGCCGTAACGTCCTACGTGACGTGGCTGCCCTTGAGCTTCTGAGCTTCTTGTGTGGTCGCAGAGAAATAGCTTGTTTGCAGATTGTCCTGAGGTGAACATCTGGACTCCTTTGTTCAAGTCTGCACAGGAGAGTGGACTGGCTCCCGAGTTCTTGATCCACTGGGGCCATGCAGGAGCTATGGCCATGGTTTTGCTGGCAATGGGTGGCTACGGGACGTTTCTGGGCTGGGCCACTCGCTTGGGCAATGGAGCCACCGTGTACCCATTGAGCATCGGGAAGTCTGCGGCAGAGCTCCATCCCATCCTCATGGGGGCCGCGCTCTTCTTCTTTTTCCTTGGTGGACAAGGTGGCCTTGTGCTTCTAGCAACTCAAGGCCAGCCCCTTCTACAGTCAGCCCATTCTTCCACAGCGGTCATTGGGCTCCTCCTCATGGCGGTGCAAGCGCCTTCATCTTGAAAATGTGAGGGATGTTGTCTTTAACGAGCACCTTCCCGAAAGCTTGCTAAACGTGCTGTACATACTGCTTCGACCCCCCTAGCAGCCCTAGCATAGTGTACGAACATAAGATATACCCTAAACCCTAAACCCTAAACCCTAAACCCTAGACCCTAAACCGAGGCAGCTCTTGGTCTCACCATGGGGGACTCCGAAACCAAGCGAACGGTGCACGCAGTGCTGGGCAGCTCGGTCATGGTGGTCCTGTTGCTTGGTGTTCTTCTGGTTGGAAGGACTTTAACTTTTTGGGTTTCTATATGAGTTAGGATAAGGAGACTAAACGTTTAACTTTTTGGAGGGGTTCAGAAGTCAGCCAAGGTTGGTTCACCTCTACTTTGGCCTCAACCTTGGTTTCAGCATCTAAGTGCTCGCGGTAGCTGAGTCTTTGCTTGTTTCCTTCGCAGGAAGGGCAGCGATCGGAAGAGTACCCAGAGAACCCAATACCCCTTAATTAGGGAATATACCTTAAATCCTAATATTAAGGCCCCTATAATTTAAGGTATATTCCTTAATTAAGGGGTATTGGGCTCTGGGTACATGCTACCTTCGTAGCACCGGGCTATTGCCTGCCCTCTCTTCCTGCATTTTCTGCCGCTGGGGTCATTCACCTCGAGTAGAGTGTGGATGTATCCACAGTCGGCCTTCCACCGAGATGGGCGCACACAAGGCTGAACAAATCATCAGGATGGCTGTAATGTGTGTCGTCCCAGCCTGGACTTTCGGATAAAACAAGTGGTCGCTCATCACACGCGCTGCTAACTAACGTTAACGCTAGCGCTTGCCCACCTCGGCCAGTTGTGTACTAAAGGTAGACACCATGCAGAGTACCAGAGAGGTTGCCGCACCAGCGTTCTAGGGTACACGCCATGTAGCACGACATACAAAGCAAGCACTTCAGAGCACGAGGACCTGCAAGAGTAAGATGGCTTTCTGATACAAAAGCCTCCAAACTTGAGTCCAAAGAGCTTCCTTGTACAAGACGGGTCGTATTTTATGGGTTTCTCGTGCTACAAGACTTAAGTCTTAAGGCGCAATAGGAGGGACCCCTAGAAGGAACCCCTAATCCAAATGCCCTATATAACCCTTATATACCCCTTGTATAGTCTCATAAAGCCCCTATGTAACCCCAAGGGTCCCTTTAGGG